ACGAATACACAATTTTCCGGTGCGACCTGCTGACTTCTTGCTGAACGAGTGTATTTACGCTCCGTTGAACTGTTTGTTGACTGCTGAACCAGTGCGACTAAATCGCGGTGTTTGTGTCAACTGTTGAACGTCACAATAAATACCTGTGACATTATTAGCCGTGAATAATTTTCCTACCGTGGAATATATCACGCACGCGGAACCATCTGTGGGAAATTCCGACAAGCGAATATTTCCTTTCACAGCCAGTTAGTGCATTTGGATCGGTGTAGTGGACCATTGGATCTACACATTCGTGAGTCCCCACTTGGCTACTCATTCCTTTCCTATTGTGATTTTATGATTTTGTATTGGTTACTTTGCTTGTTAATTTATCCGAACACGCTGATAAGGTCCTAGTCGGCTACAGACTTGACCCTCATTGAGGATGTCCATTGAACCGCTACTAAAATTATTGGCAGCCTCAAATCCGTCCACGACAACACGCGTCTCGCGGTGCTTTATTTCTTTCCCCTTGAGTGCCGTCACCTCCGAGGGGACCTAATTCCTACTTATGCCCTGTTTGACCAAAGCTTGGCCAACAGATTTTTCACACTTGACCCAGCAAACACACGGTGGGGACATAGTAAGGGGCTTCTCAAGCTCAGAGCGCACACATTCACTGAACAAAATTTTTTCTCACTTCGAGTAGTAGCTGCGTGGAATGACCTTCCTCGGATGGTTGTCCACGCACTATTAGACATTTATTTATGCAAATCTCCGTGCTGGCAAAAAAACTGCCCGGCGCTGAGAACATAAAGAGGGGTGCTATACCCTTTTTTCACTTGTGCCTTGCAGGTGAACGACAGTCACTGACCAACAAGATCAAAACCGATCCGGGAAGCTTTGGCAAAAGCCTTGACTCTGTGTATCAATCCGTGAGTCCGTGAATCCGTGAGCATTGTCAAAATCACTGATTAGTGCAGCAAGAGCTATCTCCCGTATTTGCTATAATGTAGGTACTATACGGAACCCAGTCCAATATCCGAAACTGTACTAGCGCGACATATCCTAGTAGCTTCATATTGCATTTGTGTACCAAGTTACCCAATCGGAAAATGCTTGTTTAAATGCACCAACGCCTCAGATGAGACACGTAAGTCTCGGAGCGCTTGTCTCAGCGTCCTTGAGCAGGTCTCGCTGAGGCTACAATGGAGGATGCCTACTGTCTCACCACTTCGCAAGTTCTCGAATTTTTTCACACAACTGAGGAAAGTGGACTCTCTGAGAAACAGGTTGCCATTGCCCTAAATAAAAATGGCTTCAATGGTTTGTCGTTCTGGCGCCTCTCCAACTTTGTTTAGAGCTACCACCGGAAGAAACCAAACCATTGTGGCGTCTAGTTTTGGAACAGTTTGATGATCTTCTGGTCAAGATTTTGCTGTCCGCTGCCACAATATCTTTTGTGAGTCTCGGATCGTCTTGTTCTATTTTTGAAGGTCCTTGCATGGTTCGAGGATTCTGAAGATGCGACCACGGCCTTTGTTGAGCCTCTTGTGATAATGTTGATTCTCATCCTCAATGCCATTGTTGGGGTCTGGCAGGTAATCATTTGACATTCTAATCATATCCACTAGGAAAGGAACGCCGAATCTGCTATCGAAGCCTTAAAGGAATACGAATCTGATACAGCGAAGGTGATTCGCCAAGGACACAGGGGCCCTCAAACAGTGAAAGCACGTGAACTCGTCCCGGGTGATATAGTCGAAGTTTCCGGTGAGTTGCAGTCCTTCGGTTTTCTGGAGTTTTTGCAGTCATAGTGGTTGCCACTTCTGGTGCACTGGTCTCTTGTAATCACTTCCTCAGCTGCCGAATTATCGGCGATAGATCCGAGTTCCTGCAGTAAGTGAAGCTGATTCGCGGATGCCGTAACCACAGCAATACTAGTGCTTAAGCTGAACTTGGTCGTCTTGTTTGGAGATTGGAACAGGCGCCACAGCCTGTTTCCTAAAACCCTTGACTAATCTGGTGGCCCTGTTACTCAACTCCTGAATGCGACCAGGCCCTATATTTGACTGCTTGAAACGAAGAACCTAGTCGTCCAGAGAGTGACCCTCTGGCAGGATATTGGTCTACGTAACAGTGAAGTACACAAAAGTACATCCTTCCACGAGGCCTTAACTTGGAGCTGTCGGTCATTTCGCTTTTGGTGCATGCACCAAGGCGGATAAGCGAAAACAGGAACCGGTACTGTCTTTGATCTATATGCGTTGCTATCTCCCAACTGACCCCGATTCACTCACTGATTTGTAGATCCCAGATGTAGAAACATCCATTTATGCTGATGACCCCGTTCGTCCCGTGTCGTTTTTGGCGGCTGCATCTGCGCGTCAGCCGGCGCTGACAGCCTCAGATATCTCGAAATTAGTCTTCTGACTTAACACCTGGTCCATCTGGCTGATTTCAGTGGTCAGACTTCGAACCAAGTACGGAAGCAATTTGCTGTTGCCCTCATACTAGACTAGCCCGACAGTCATGTGTGCTGTTTATCAGAAGCCAGAATTCGAGATGCCAACATAACTTTTGAGATGACTGTCCCAGCACTCCACTGACTTTCGGTTGCGCGTATGTAGATATCCAGAAGCCGTTGTAGCCAGGTATGCAGGGATTGAAAGGATCTTTGATTGACTGCATATCCGTTGATATTCGCCTCTCTCTGGTCCGTCTGGCAACGTCTGTAGAGAAGTTTCAAGCTGGAATTTCATCCCGGTGTCATTTGTGCTTACGCCCCAACCGACTACAGCCCTGATACCACCAAAGACAAGTTTTGTGAACTCTTGAGTGCCTCGTCACGGCGGGCCAAAAGCTCAGATGTCGCTATGCTTACCAAAGGTCTGAATGGACAGTGGGTAAACTTAGCGCATCTGAGACCCAATTAGGTGGTCGACTCATCACGAAGAGACTGGACTTTACCGTGGTGTGACAATTTGTGTGCCTTGGTGACCAACTGAGCCATACTTGCGGGAAGTGTCTGCGCGACACTCGCAGCCTCATACCAGATTGGTCAATGGTTATGGGTCTGACAACCACAGTCTCGTGGTCCTCCAGGTTGTGGGTTGGAACTTGTGGCAACTTGTTCCGTAGAAATAGCAATGCATTTACACATCCCGCCAAACACCTCTGCTCTCCGGTCAAATTTTTGAGCCCCAGGATTTGGTTAGGGACCCTGTCTAGGTTTGGGCACCTTGGCTGTATCCCAGCCAACGTACAACCATGAACTACGCATATACAAACAAACTCATGCCACATCGGCCGTCGCGTGGTACCATCGGCCGGGTCGCCTTACTCGCTGCATACAACAGGGCGGATAAGCGAAGACAGATTACTGCTAGCACCTACCTTCTTTCTCTTTCACATACTTTTCTCCCTCCTCTCCCCGCCGCATTAATAACTCTGTCCTTGTAGGCCCAGCACTCAGGACTGATGACTCCGTTCGTCTTGCGTCGGTTTTGCGTGCAACATCTGCTCATTGCATGGCGCTGACACTCAGCTGTCTTCAAGCCTCGACGCCCAGTCTATCTGACAGGACAACAAGCTGCTCTTGCTCTTACACTGGACGCGCTTGGCATTGATGTGTGCTGTGTCTCCAAACCAAGAATTCAAGATGCAAGCACAGTGGTTGAGCTAACCGCCTCATCAGTCTCCACTCGCTTCCGGCTACGCAACTTTGGTGATCCAGAGGCTGTTGCGGCGGGATGTGCAGTGCTTAGTACCGTTCAAAGTCATTAGTCGGAAGGATCCTTGCTTGACTGGATACCTGTCGATAGCCGCCCATGTGCGGTTCGTCCGGCAACGTCACTGAAGGAGTCTTACAAGCGGGAAGTTGATCACTGTCTGTTTGTCGTGTCTGCCTACACCCCAGCTGACTGTATCTCTGATTCCATCAAAGACAAGTTTTGCGACGCCCTGTTGCGGTGAGCTAAAAGTTCAGATATCGTTGTGGTTGTCAGAGATCTGAATGCAAAAGTGGATAGGCTTAGCGTATCTGAGACTCAATTAGGTGTCAGACATGGACTGCACTCAGTACGTACGGACATTGGTGAACGATTGCTTCAGCTGCGTGCTGACCTCAGGCTGTTTTTATGCAGTGCTAACTTCCGAAATAGCCGAAGTCGCCTGCTCATCATGCTGTTTGTGATAATGATGATGATCGCGTGGCGCCCACCAACGGTGTGTCTATCGCAAACTCAAATTGATCACAATGCCATCTGTTACCGATGGCGCGGATCAGTAACTGACTCCGTCGTTTTGTAACACATTTGTGGATTCCGACCACGCACTCGTCTGGAATCGCTTCTCTCTACATTTTCCAGGGCCGCGCAAGATGCAGAAAAATCGCTTGGCACTTGAAAGACTAGCAGATCCGGATGTTAGACGAACTTACCGGAATCGTCTCATAGAGTTTCCTTTTTCGTCAAATGTGAACTCATACTGGGGCGACATTACCACCTCTGCACATAGTGCTAAGAATTTCGCCTGTGGCACACCACCACCAGGTGAACTCAAGCACTGGATGTCAGACAGAACGGCGGCATTGCTTAAATCTCGATGAAATATCCCAGCCAGTCCTGAACTTCATGCAACGAATTACCAGACATCAAGTGAAAGTGAGCGTGCGAGCCGATCGTAAAATGTGGCCACAGAAAGCCAATAAAATAGAAGAGACCCTAAGATTATTTCAGTTGATCCGTGTGACCTGTCCCCGGAAACCAACTGTGAGTGAAGCCATCAAGGATCGGAACGGAGTGACCATCTTGGATAGAGACGAACGCCTCGACCGTTGGACTTAATACTTCGAGCAACAATTGTGACCACCGGCTGCCACTCATCTGGAGTCCACAAGTGACGTAGATCCTTGGATGGTGAACATGGAACCATCTACGATCTCAGAGGTTTACGACTGCATATGTTCTCCCAGGCGCCACCGACCTTCTGTCCCGCATGGCCTCCCACCCGCATTGTTCAGGACGGGTGTGAAGTCCTCAGTCAGCGCTTGTCTGATCTGTTTGCTTGCATTTGGGAAAAAGAATCTGTCCTAGACGACTGGTGAGGGTAAGTGATAGTGCCCATTTTCAAAACAGGGCCTCGTAGTGAGCGTGGTAACCACGGGTGGATCAGCTTGACCTCGATCGTAACGTAGCTGTCGGCGTCACTGGTGCTTCGTCGCTTGAAATATCTAGCCGGACGAATTACTAAATGCCAAGGGCGCACTGATTGTGGGACCTGGTGGACACGGAAGGTCAAGGAATTGGAAAGCCGGTAATTTCCGAGCATTATTACAGTTGATCCGTGCGACGGGACCTCGGAAACCACCTGTGAGCGAAACCACCGTGGATCAAAGTGGCTCAGTCATTCTCAATAGAACTGACGCTTTGACTGCTGGGCCGAGCGTTTTGACTAGCAACTCTCGTAACCATCTGATACCGTTCATCTGGATCCTGGAACCGCAGTAGAGACCTGGACAGTGAACTAGGAGGCCCTCATGTATCTTCGAAGTCCTGACCTTAGCATGTGTGAAGTTAATGCACTTATCAGTAGGCCTCTTGTGCGACTTCTTTTTCATTACGAAAACAATGTCGCCTGCATATGCTAAATCAACAAAGTTTTTTTATCAGCGGCCATTTGGACGCCAGGGTTCTGAAGACCTTCCAGCTTCTCACTGTTACATAGATTACAAAATTAAATCGGAATGAAGAGAGTGGGCATCCCTGATGGACATCGCATCATGTACGGAGGCTTTTGGAGAGCTCTCCGTATACTTCCACCTTCATAAGTCTGAGGATACAAATAAATTATGTTCACGAATTTTCGGAGCATTCCTTGGTGGGCAAGCGTGTTAGGGGGTGAGATGACTCAATGGTTAGAGTGCAAATTTATTGACCGGAAGGTCCGTGGTTCGAACCTGATTTCTGCCTCTCGACTTCCCTTGCCTAGGCTTGGGAAACTTGGCAGTATCGCAGCCCTCGTGCTTCTTCCTGGTGGCATGGCAGTTAGGCACCGAGAGGGTGCTACAGCTTAACCATTTTTTCCAAGGGTGTCAACAAGAACAGAACGGTCAACCCAGCCGAATGTGCCTATGATATCCGAGAAACTAAAACAGTGGGGGCTGATATAATCACTTTGTGGGTCGACGCTTCGTCACTTAACTGATTCCTCAACTCTGAACGCCCAACTGACCACCACCGTAAAATCTCACAGTCACCGAAACATCAACCGCTCCTCTTGCACCAGCCCATTGTATCTCCGATGCAGCACAAGACGATTTCCGTCTACAACTGGTCACTGTTAATCAAGGGAGGTTGAAACGTCGCAGCACCTGAATAACGTCACCCATAAACGCGATGGTTCAGTTCACCAGAGACGTGTTTCTGATTTGCGTTTAATTTTAACACAAAACAATCTAATGGTGGGTGCCTTTTGTAGTATCGCGCCGACCATCTTCGTTTATCACTAGTACTGGGTTTCGACTCCATATGCCATTGTGCATCCGGGTATCTTCCTACCACTGAGCAGCCCTGGAGCTAAACTGACGCGTTTTCATCAGCCATCGATAGATGTTCGTCACAGCTGGTTTACGTAAGCAATCTTGGTTGAAAAGTCATTTTTATCTCGTCTGCGGTGGCTGTGGTTGTTGAGGTCCTGTGATATTTCAGGCAATGGTGACCGTGTCTCTTGGGGATCCAAGCGGTCGCTCGTCGTAGATTCCCAGGGAGTTTCCCTTCATTTAAGATCAAGGGCTTTGTTTGTCCTGCACCTCTGCGAAACAGCTAGGCGTTCTACGGTTTCTGAGGCAACAAGCTTGGTAATATTTGTCCTTGTGCAACGTTGGGGTCTTTTGTGCC